CCACCCTCAGATATCTAGTAATTAATCATCTCTCTAGGTCCATGGTCTCATACACAGTTTCCTTTCTTGTCTGTCCATCAGAGACTCTCAATTCTTTAAAAGGAGGGACTATCATTTTGTCTCTATTTCTACACTATTAACCCTAGAATGCTTTATGCAGTAAAATTTTAATAAATGTTTGCTGAATCCATTCTGAATAAGTCTGCTGCAAATCTCATCATATAAAATGTCCACTGAAAAGCTCTTTGTATGTGAAGACACAAGTAAAGAAGCAGATCCATCTATCATAATTAGGAAGATCATCAATCAGTAATATCTAGGTTTCCGGGGCATCTTCTCTTGATCCTGGCATCCAGTCAGGCAGGAACCTGGGGACACATTGAAGAAATCCCAGTGAATTCTCCTTAGGTTCAGATGGCCAGTGTCAGCATTTTAAAGTAAGTTGTTTTTTTTTCTTGAAAAAGGAACAAAAAATTGCATTTACTTCCAAACTTAAAAAAAGTACAAGCAAAGCAAATATTCCTGTCAATAAAGTGGTTGTTGCTCAAGTTTTTTCATCAGTCTAAGGCCACATAGGTTTTAAGCAGTTCTCTGTAAACTTGGTCTGTCTGTGAAAAAGGGTGAATGTTTCACTGAGCAAAGAAAATAATGGGTTGAGCAGCATGTAATATAAAACTATATGGACTACTTGAAAGTTACAGTATAGCATATACATGTATATCTGTATGTATATAAATATATATGAATATATAATTTCTGTCATATTATGTGGAGTAGTATGATAGAAATATCATTGGATTTGGATTCAGAGGACCTAGATTCAAAATTCCAACCTGCCACTTTATTTTTTTTACCTATGTGACCTTGGGTAAGTCATTAAACATCTCTAGGCCTCAGTTATCTCATTTGTAAAATAAGAGGGGCACTTGATTAATTATCTCTGTGGTCTCTTCCAAACTCAATTGTGATCCTATGGCCCTGACTATGCCATTTATTACCTGTATGATCCTGGGGAATGTTTTTACCCTTCGTAGTCTTTAGTTTCCTCCTTTGTAAAATGAAAAGGAGGCCCAGATGACCTCTTAGGCCTCTACCAGCTCTAAATCTAAAATCCTCTGATGATCATATCATTGAAACATACTCAGAAAAAGAGCCTATCAAATGAGATGATCTTTATAAACCCCCTTAATCAACAAATCTAATACTTGTTAGAAGGGGGAAGGAGGCAGAAGAGGAGGAGGAAGAAGAGGAGGAGGGGGAAAAAGAGGAGGAAGGAAGAGGAGGAAGAACACTGACATTTATAGAATGCTTTCAGATTTGCGCAGTGCTTTACATATTGGGTATCTCATTAGAGGAGAGGAGACAGAGCTGGCTATGGAATATGAGGCCTTAGGTTCAATCTGTGTCTCTGTTGGGTCAACTTTGTGATGCTGGGCAAGTCATTCTTCTCATCTGTTAAATGGGGGGTTTAGACTAAATTATTCCTAAGATTGTTTTCAAGCTATGAGTCTTATGAACTATTAAGTACTTCCTGAGAGCTTATGAAGCACAGTTTTAAGTGATGGGAAGAACCTTGGGTTTAGAATCAGGAAACTGGGTGGCAGCTAAGTGGCACAGTGGATAGAGCAATGGACCTGGAGTCAGGAGGACCTGAGTTCAAATCCAGCCTCAGATCAGACACTTGACACTTATTAGTTGTGTGATTCTAGGCAAGTTGTCAAGTTGTCACTTAACCCCAATTGCCTCACCAAAAAAAAAAGAATCGGGAATCTGGGCTCCAAGTCATAGCTTTGGCACTTACAAGCTGGATGATCATGGGCAAGGGTGCAACTCTAGTGAGAAGAGACCTACGCACAAACCCCCTTCCCCACACCACAACACCTCCTAGCTATGTGACTATGGGCAGGTCATAACTTTTTTGAGACTGTTTCCTCCTCTGTAAAGTAGAGATAACCATCCCTACATCATAGAGTTGTGATGAAAAAAAGGTGTTTTGTAAACAGGAGTTATGATTATTACTTAGAATCATATTTGAAATATAGCTCTTTAAGGCTGATAAGGTGATTTATATACATTATATTGTTGAATTTCCTAGTAACACCATGAGATGGGTATTATTATCAGCTGTCTTTTGCAAATGAAGAGTCTGGGGCTCAGTGAGGTCGGGCAATGTGCTTGGTTAGTAGAAGAGGTGCGTTTAGGGCCCAGGATTCCTAGCTCCTTAGGTCCAGCCCATGTTGCACTTATCACGTGCTATAGTGGATTAAATGAGATAATGTGCTTAAAGTGCTTTAGAAAACCTCAAATGACTATATCAATGTCACCTATTATTTTTCTACCTCTTATTTTTTTTCATTTTTTGCTTTCGAAGTACAAATGGAAACATTTATCTCCTAAAGAGAACTTAGCTTTTTAAAATCACTTACATTATTAATGTATTAAGGAGGTAAATATTTGCCTCATTCTACAAGGGGTCATGGGATGAAGATCTGAGGCTGAACTTGTTTTATCCATGCCCCATGTATACTCCCTTAATAAGTGGTTATTAAGTGAATGGACTGTGAAAAGAAGATTCTTTCATCATTTTTCTGGACTTGTAGAGAGAAGCATTATTTTCTATGGATGTTTATAAATAATATTGGATTTGGATTTGGGACCAGACCTTTGATTTCATTGGCATAGAGAACTTCCCTGGAGGAAGTCACCTCTACCCTTCCTGATTCTAAACCTAAGGTTCTTCCCATCACATACCCTTACATTTTCTTAGAGAATTGTCTATAGGCACTAAGAGAAAAATTGACTTGTCTAAGGTCACAGCCACTACATCTAGAGACAGGAATGGAACCCAAGATTTCTTGACTCCAAGACCAATTATCCGCTAGACCAAGACTCTTAAACTTTTTTGGTGTCATGGGCCCCTTTTGACAGTCTGGTGAAATCTATGGACCCCTTCTTTGATTGTGTTAAAATTTATAAAATAAAATATATACATAAAGAATCCAATTAAAATAAAATATAATTATCATTTTAAAAAAAAACCTCAGAGACCCTAGGTTACAAATTCCTCCACTAGTCCATGCTGCCTTTCACCATAAATGACGGGCAGTAAAATTCATTTTGGTGGGAGGAACATGTGTCCAACTGAAGACTTCTAAAATCCCATTAGAAAACCTCTCAAATCCAATTTCAACTCGTCTATTGAACCAAAAGAAATTCACTGACATTTTATCACATGAAAATCCTTCTAATTTCCTAGGAATGAAATTTGGAGTTTTAACTGTAAAGTATATCTTGTATAAATAAATAAATGTGTGTGTGTGTGTGTGTGTGTGTGTGTGTATATGCATGTGTTGTCTCCCCGATTAGAACATAAGCTCTCTGAGGGCTGAGACTGTTTTTGTTTTTTTGTTTTTTCTTTGTATCTCTACCACTTATTTATAGTGTATGGCACATAGTAAGTGCTTAATTAATGCTTTTTGATTTATTGATATTCTTCTGCTTCCTTCCTAAAGAGCTTCTAACTTTGCTTAGCATTCATGATTCAACCAATATAAATCAGGCCTTCTTCCAGCGTCATCTACAATCACCCATAGGCAGGGGTAAGAGGTCACTGCTAGCTTGGCCACACAGAGATTAAAAAAAAAAAACCTCCCAAAGATCATGGAGAAAACTGTTGTATGGGTGTGATCCATGATCATGGAGAGATGAAATCTCTACTCTCTGAAATCTCAAAGTAGATTTTTGTCATGCCACTCTGTGTTGCTGCATTGGAAAGTCCAGAAGTAGTACTGGGTCCACTAACTTCCTATTAGGTGCATAAAAGTACATTGAGAGACTCATGGCACAGTGCATGGAGCACTAGAATTGGAGTCAAGGAGTCAAGAGGTCTTAAATGAAAAAGTCTGCTTCAGAGACTTATTACTTGTGTAACCCCAGACAAGCTACTTAATGTCTCTATGCCTCATTATTATCATCTGTGAAAGAATCTGTATGTTCTGAGGTTGCTCCTCATTCTAAGGGTATGGACTTATAATCTTCAGTTGTCTTAAGAATGATTCAAGGATTAATAAAAAAAAAGTATGCTCCTGGAATATTAGAAAAATGTAATGGATGGGAGTTATTAAAATAAATAGGAAGTTGAGTCAATATAAGGGACCTGATCATGTGACTAGAATGCACTACCTCAGGTCAAGAGGCCCCCATGTGCAATCACACCTCTGGCATTTACTGGCTGTCTATAGCCAGACACAACCCTTAACTGCTCTAAGCTTTAATGTCTTCATTATTCAAATGGGCATACTGAACACCTGGAGTCCTTATCTCATGTAGTTATTGGGAGGATCACAGAAAGAATCCTGGGTGTCCCAGAAGTTGCAGTGCAATTGTAAGCTATTGAAACTTATATATACTATAATAAGCACGTAATAAGTAATAAAATAAAGTTATATAATTTAATTAAATTAAATTGAAATTGAAATAATAACTAAGAATAGAATAAAACTATAATAGCTATTAAAACTTAAAACTGTACTAAGACTTTGGGGACACTCTGTATACTGAGTATTTGGTGAACTTTCAAGTACAATATAAATATTGTTATTGTTATCTAGATGCATTTTTCATAATGAAAGTTAACTCTGATTTCATATTCAGGTCACAGAAGCAGTGAGAACCACACCTGTTTAAAGGTTAGCTGGATATTTATAGTGGAAAGCCCTGTCTTTTCTTATATCTTGATACTTAAGGCTAGAATACCCCAAATGAAATCTTTTCTCCCCTTTCTTCCATCATTAAATGTCTTATTGAGTATCTAGTAGAAACAAAGGATGATGGGTGAAACGCACCACAAAAATAGTAAAATGAACAAAAAGAAAGTCTTTTTGTCGCTATCTAGGAAATAGGATATATTGGCCTTCTGGACTCTTTTCTCTCTGTGTGTGTTTGCATGTACACAAAGTTTACATGTAGTAACTCTCTTACCTCCTGCAACAAAAGAAGATTTATTTTTCTTTCAATGATATTTGCTTTCGATTTCTTTTCATCTTTCCTCTACTGCATGTTTCCTGGCATAATTGCTTGGCTTTTTGTTCCCGATCCAGAATTTCTTTGGGGAGAAGGCTTTTCTCATCAAATGCTGCTCTCAGTGCTACAAAGGTGATGGGAAAATCCACATAAAAATTATAGTTTGGTAAGAGGCCTAGGAAAAATTAAACAGTGATAACAAAAACACCAAATTATGCTTGAAACAAAGACCTTTTGGCTTCTACATAAATTTGAGGGGAAAATCTAACCTGGAGGATATTGTCTCTAAACTTCTGCTATTATTTTAATTTTTATTTGCATTCTACATCCCACACAGCTAATTCTTGTCTTATTCTATTTTATTTTATTGAATTGCCTTCATCATGATACAAAGATCTGCTATTAAAGAGTAGGGGAATAAAAGAGTTAGTCCATTCCAACTTCATTCTTTTCAATCTACTTGCTGCTATCAAGAACTCATAAAAAACTAAAAACAAATTATCCTTTATAGAAGTAAAGCAATTAAAGTAATCAAACTATGGTTTGAACATTTGCATGGTCAAATGAGCATCTAGTGTAATCATATCCTTGAAAAGATTCTGGTCTGTAAGCATGTGGGTTCTCTTAAAAAATATACAGATTATCCCCAGGGATGGGGACCAGGGTTGCCATGGAAGGAAGCAGAAAGTGTACCATTTGTTCAAGAAGAGAACTTAGGCCTCTCATTCTATTTCTACTTGCTTCATGATTAGATGAATCAATGTATTTTATGCCAATTGAGTGGACTATCTGTGATTAGCTTCTTTGATATCTCAAAAAAAAAGCTTTGATTTCATCAGTGTGAGAATTCTTATCATTGACACAGATCACAAGATTTCCACCATTAGTTCTATGAGATGCCTTGGTCAAAAAAGGGAGAGAGAAGGGAAAGAGAGAGAGAGAGGGAGAAAGAAAGAGAGATGGAGAGAACCTCTTATGATAAATACATGTAGCTAAGCAATACAAATGTCCTCATTGGCTATGTCCATACATATCTGTCTCATTTAGTACCCTGGGTTCATCACCTCTCTGTTTGAAGATGGGCATCATGTTTCATCCTGGGTCCTCTGAAATCAACCCATCCTCTCCTTTTAGAGGTAAGGAAACTGAATACTAATGAGAAGTGACTTGCCCAAAGTTGCACAGTGTTTGATAGAGCAGGTCCTTGAATTCAGGTCCTCTGACTTCAGATTCAGAACTCTTTCCATTCTATCAACCTGCCTTCCCATCTGAAGCCATTCTAATTCCCAAATCTAGGCTGTTATGCATTGTTAAGTGTTACACATCATGTCTGACTCTTCATGACCCCATTTGGTGTTTTCTTGGCAAAGACACTAGAGTGGTTTGCCATTTCCTTCTCCAGATCATTTTATGGATGAGGAAACTGAGGTACACAGGGTTAAGTGCCTTGCCCGGGGTCACAGCTAGTAAGAGTTGGAAGCCAGATTTAAATTCATGTCTTCTTGATTCCAGGTCCTGCACTGTATCTATTGTACCACTTAGCTACTATTCTTGGAAAAAACCAAGGTCACCTGAGGAGAGATTGAAATGGGACCTTAATAGAAGACTGCCATTTAAAGAAATAAATAAATATATGAAAAACCATTTAGTAAGCACTTACTATGTGCCAACCCTTAGGAATACTAATAGAACAAGTTAGACAGTCTGCTTACAAGAAGTTCACACTCTAATTGAGAATATCAACACATAAAAGAAATCCTAAGGGATCAGCAGAGAGGCAGATGGTAAAGCCCAGAGATCCTTAGGTTGTGTAAGAGGCCAGATGTCATCGTTAGGGAGTCTGAAGGGCATAGAAACAGGGCAGATGGTAAGATGAAATATCACTATACGGCCATTGAAGCACTTCTAGATGAAATAGCTCCACTCAAAGGGATAACCACTGTGCTTCCTTTTGCCTAAAAACAGTACTATAGGATAGTATAGTCAGTATTTGGATTCATCTGCTACAAAGCTACAGATGCCTTCTCTAAATTCATAGGGAATTCTTGGTCCAGAAGGGCTGTCTGGAGATGCAAACCAGGGAATGGCATTTGAAAGTTACTCATAAATATTCTTGTCACTCTTAGGTCTCAAATAATGAATTCCAAAGGAATCAAATCATGGCATCATAGATGTAGAAAAGAAAGAGACTTCAGAATTCAACCATTTCAGATTAGAAAACAGGTATCTAGAGGGGTGGTAACTTGCCCAATATCATACAGGCAGTACATGGTATGGCTAGACTTGGGACTCACATTGTAACACATCCACTGACTGGTTGAGTCAGGAAGAATGGTCTCACCAAAAATACAGAGTACATTTGGCTAGCCAAATGAACAAATGAGAGATATTGTCTTCCTAGAGATCCACATTTCCCAAAGTAAACAGACAAAAAGGCATCAGCAGTCATATTACCAATGACCTTCTCACCCTATGCCAATCATAACCAAAGACCCACAAAATGACCCTAGATGATAAATTCCAATTTCTTCTCACTCTATGTAGCATTAGCAGCTATTAGATATACAGTAAAATTCTAAGCAGTTTTATATGGCGAAATTAATGCCTTATCTATGGCATATTGCATCAATAAAGATATAGAGACCATCTGCTCCTAGAGTATAAATAAAAGGAAATCGTAGGATTGTAGATTTGGATGTGAACCAGGGACCTCAGAAGTCATCTACTTCAACCTTTTCATTTTACAGGTAGGGAAATGGAGGCCAGAAAAGTAAATTGGCTTGCCCAAGATTATACAAGGAAAAGTGGCAGAGCCAGGATAAAAAACCATATCCTCTAACTCTAAATCCAATTTTCTTTCTAATGTATTGCACTATATCTCACAATCTTTTCATACTGCCTTCTTATGAGCTCAATATCCCAGCCCTGTTGGGCAAAAGGGGTGGTTTACATGAAAACATTATACAATTTATAAATTATTCTCCTTTTACTCCATATTCCAGCCAAAATTGCCTTCTCTCTGTTCTTAACACAGGACACTCAATTTCCTGTCTCCATACCTTTTCACTAGTTGTTTTCCACACCTTGTATGCACTTTCCTCATCTCTGCCTCATAGAAGCCCTCACTTCCTCCAAGATACAAACTCCCCCAACTTTTAGTGCCTTTCCTCCATAACTACTATGCATTTATTTTGTATTTATCATTCATTCATTATTTGTCCTTTTTTCTCAAAGAGGACCAGTGACGTCAGAAAGGTGATGCCATGACTTGCAAGTGAATTGGATTTAAGGAAGTGAGGGCTGTGCAAAGTCATCAGCTTCCTCTCCTCCAGAGCCATCTGGGTCCAGTGGCAAGATATTGATCAGATCAATTGGAGATGGATGCAGTGGGAGACCTTGGCTTTTTTAAGCTAAGGTCTTTCCCAGGTTTCAATTTAGTTGAGATAACACCCATTCAGGGATTAAGGTTAGGTAAGAAATGAGGCAAAGAGTTGCCTCTTTTGCCTAGTCAAAAAGAAAAGAAAGACTCAGTCTGGGAGGGGATATAGCTATATACACATATATGCATATATGTGTATATGTGTTCATATATGTGTGTACATATATACACATTCACATATAATTATATGTTATGTATACATATAATATGGAATTTAATTTCCTTGAAGCCAAGGATAATATTTTTCCTTTGTTTCTCTAGCATTTACTACAATACCTGGCATATAACAGATATTTAATAGATGATTATTTATTTATTGACAGTGAAAGTTTGATCATTACTCAACTATTCTAGGCTTCTGTGCCTGCAACCTGATTGGCTAGTGAATGGTAGCCACCAATGGAACATTCATTTATGTAAACACACAGCTTAGGCCTAAGCACAAAACCAGTTCTCTTAAGCATTCCAGACTCACCTTGTGCTTTCCCTAATCCTAACTGTAAGAGAAGTTGCAAAGAAAAGTGGAGAAAGCATTGAGTGAAAGAAGACCTCAATTGAAATTCCAACCTTGACATTTACTAGTTGTGTGCCCATGAGCTAAAGCATTTAACTCCTCTATTTCCTCATCTGAAAAAATGTAGATAACAACTTTGGTGCTCACAAGGCCATTTTAGGAATCATGTGAGTTGATATTTATAAAGTGGTATATAAATGTCAGTTCTAATTGCCTTGGCCCTTCTCCTCATTCAGATCCCAGCATCATAATTATAGAAGTGGAAGTCCCTAAGGGACTGTCTAAACTAAGACTTCTAAACCTTTTTTATGTCATGGAATCCTTTGACAATCCAAAGAAGCCTGTGGACCCATTCATAGAATGTTTTTAAATGCATAAAATAAAATACATAGAATTATATTGAAATAAAGATGTTATTTTTTTTTTACCTAGCCAAGTTCATAGATGCCCGGAAATCTAATCAAGTTAAGAACCTTTGATCTAGACCATCCCCCCTCATACAAACTACCTAGTCAACTTGGGAAAGTCACTTAACCTAGGCAAATGTATTACATTCACAAAACTGGATTCCTCTAAGACACCCCAAACACAATATTTTCTCTATACTGGAAAACTTTGAAAAGGTTCTGAAGAATCCTTTGACAAAGTGTGACCAAAAGCTAGGCCTCAGTAGTTTTCAGATTTGGGAATAAAGCACATGAAATGTCACGCTGTTTAAGTACCCAATGAGGACAGCTAGAAAACCATAGAGAGAGTATGAAGGATCCTTTTAATTTCAAAAGAAGGAAACGGAATAGAGAGAGGACATTCAATGCCTGGGGGAAGAGGAGAAGAGAACCTAAAAAGTCACAGAGGGACCATAAAGCATGGGAAAATAGGCCCATGTTCCAAAAGTTATGGTTTCAAAGACTGAATGGCCATCAGGCAAAACCCCTCTCTTCCAGACTGCATCACTGCCTAATAACTTCTCACTTAACATAATCATAGAGATTGCATGAATTAATATTGGAGTAAAGGATTAACTGCAGGTTAGAGTGATAGTGAGTATTAAGAGTATATGAATAATTATAATTTTTAATCTTCTTTTCTAGCAGTGAATTTTTAATCCAAGGGTTTACTCCTTAAGAAGAAAAGAGCAGTTTGAGTGAAAATATCAGAAACAAAAACAAAA